ATCCATATTAGTTCATGATTCTATCAACAGCCTCAAGGCTGAAGCATATTTTCTTTCAAGAACTGTGAGTGCACCAGAGAGGATAAGAAATAGCATTTAAAAAGACGGTTATTTTAATTTTGCGTATGTGTAATCTTATCTTACGTTAGTGAATTATTCTGGATAATTTAAAACAGGATACGGATACTCTAAGAAGACGCTTATCAATTTTCGGGCGTTCCAGCCATTCTATAAGTTATTAATTAAAAACTGATTCTATTCAATATCATTTTAGTGGAGCTAGATGGGTTCATAGTCGATGAATTTGGTATGCAGCCAATCAGAGGGATGTCTAGTTTGTTGACTGATTACACTATTTAATTTTCTTTGAATCACACGAAAGCAATTTTACCACTTAACTTACCTTTCATTTTACCGGTCCATTCAATACGCGTAAAAGAAAAAAACACTGCAAGAATTCAAGATTACGTAGTGGGATCTATGTAGTTATTCAATAATCTGTGTTTGTAGAAATCATAATATCAAATTACAGATTTGATGATGAAATTAGTTTTATCATTTTATTTCATCTTTTTTTGGAAAATCTCATCTAAGATTGGCTTAGATATTATCTTACGGATATTTGTTTTGATTTCTACAGATAAAATTAATTTAACCAAACGGAGTGTTGCAGGATTATTACCTTGCACAGTAAATATATGCTTGAATCAAGGCATATGTTTAATGGATCCATTGTTCAGCAAATTCAGGTGTATATGTGGGGCATATCATTCTGGTAATCTATGTGAGAAATTTAATAGCAGTATTTTCATCTGTTCAAAACTTGGTTTATGTAGACCACTTGGTGTAAGTGTTTCACTGTGTAATAAAATATTTGAAATTCCTTTATGACTCTGTTAAACAAAGTTTATTATTATTTAATGGTTGGCAGGTGGTATGAACCAGTAAAGACCTATTTTCTTACAAAAAATTCTTTAATTGTGCATGAACTAACATCTGAAACAATTTTTACGTAGAATAATAGTGTTGGAAAGATATTTATGCAAGCTATTACTGACTACTTACAAGTAGCTCTAAAATTATAATCTATTCATTGTGCATTGTATCCTGATTTTATCCATTATTTAGGATTTGTTAAAATGGATTTGAAGTTTTAAAAATGCATAATCTCCTTCCTTTTAGTAAGAAATTGTGGATCATGGTTGATAAGGTTCCTTAAAACCCTATTACCTAATTGATATTCGCTGAAAAAATATTTTCTGTGATATGTTATTTAGTTGTGAAGTTATGAGTTAACTTACTCTTATAAAAGAGGTGGCATTATTTGCACTAAACTTGGTCTTTTGGAGCATTATCTTGGTGTATAAATCTCTGCCATAAGCTCGATGCTAGAAGACATGACCAATGCAGGTCATGCACCACTACGAGAATCATTATTCAAAGTGATTTACGCTGCCTAAATGAAATGACTAAAATACAGTTTTAACTAAAATTGTGTATAGAACAAAGACTTCACTAATTTTACTATTAAGGCTTAATCCCTATCTCCAAAAACCATGGGTATGTTGGCTGATGTTACCCTGCTCAAAATCCCCGTTTTCAGTCCCACAAGTTTTTTTCTTCTTTCCAATTTACCTATACTCGTCAAGTCGAGAAATGTCGTTCATTCCTCTTTTGTATTTATTACATTCACCGTAATGGTTCTTGTTGCTTTCTGACTATTGCGCACCTTTTCTTCTATACTTGTAATTATGGAAAACTTTTCTAACTACTTAATACTATATTATTTAATAGGTGGTATTCATTATGGATCTAACTTAGTTTGAGCTTCATTGAAAAATCAGGGATCAGCCCTCAGTTGAGGAATCGTATACTGGGACAAAACACTTGTCCAGTGCTCCCTGGTTTTTAATGATGAATGAAATTTGGTTAATCTGCAGTAAATTTGACACGCGAATTGAAATGAGCTTCACAAGACCCCTTCGTCAGTAACTATTTATTTCGTTGTAAATTACTATGCACTAGAAATCACCTATAAATTTTGGCGAATGATAAGAAGTTTTATGTAAATTATCTTCATTTTTGAAGTGAAGCGAAATAACAGTTTCGATAATGTTCGTTATGAAAATATTAAGTCACAGTAAATTTAGATGAGGATATACAAATAAATGAACTTAGGTTTAAAGCAATTAGCCCCTTTAATAGATTTCGATAGTGTAATAAGAAGACGAAGATTATGAACTATGTGAAATATTGAATATCATTAAACAACCGGTCATTTTTGCAATTTTTTAAATAATTTTTTCACACCCCTTTAAAAAATTTTTTTCATCCAATTTTCCAAAATTCTTCATCCCGTTTCGTCCAATTAAATGGCCAGTTTTAAATTCGTTATAATTGGTTTGTTCTATCGTAAAATTGTTATAAAATGTCAGTACTTGTCGACAGAGTACATTTTAATCACAATTATGGAGGAGAGTAACGTACCATGCACAACCTCTGTTGCGATTGAGAATTATTTCCCAGTGCAATTACGACAGCCAAGCATCAATAATTTGGTGCTTTCCTTAGTCAGGAAAATGTCTGAGGAACAATGCAGTTAAGTTTATAACCATCTTTATCAAGTTGTTCACGGTAGAATGCCACCAACGCCGTTGAACTTGTATGCAGAACCGCATTTACACACCGAATCAAGCACTTCCGCTGACGTTCCAGTGCCCTTGATGCATGATCATTCAGTGAAGAACTATGGAGGAATTGTGGATTTGGACGAAACGTTCAGTAACGACGAGGAAATAGTTTCTATTGACTCCTAAGAGTTCACGGAACGGGACATCGAATATGAAGAACAAAATGATTACAACCGTTTGTGTGATGTATGTAATCTTGCACAGCCTCCACATATAACTGGTGATGCAGCTGTTTGGGTGTTTTGTCCTTGCGAAGCAATGTTTCATTGGTTTTGTGCTTACGACCCATCATCAAACGTACGTGCAGTCAACTGTCCAGTGTGTGGCGCTATAACCAATTCATAGTTACGCCGTCCAACAGCTAAATCTGCATTAATAAGAGACCGAGTAAAGGCCCCTTTCAGGGCCACCCACAATTTGATTTACATTATTTTAAAACAATTAGTCCCTTTGATAAATTTCGATAATGCAATGAGAAGACGTAGTTTATCAGAATTATGTGATATATTTGCGCAATACATTTCGAACAATCTGATCACACATATACTTGTTAAGAACATTTATATATGAAAATTAAAAGGTCAACTAGACAGGTTAAGGGTTTTAATTATCCCCACGACAATTCCCCCCCCACCCTTTAAAATTTTTTTTTTCAACCCCAAAATTACAATATTTTTCATCCCGTTTCGTCCAATGAAATGGCTAGTTTTAAAATTCGTTTTAATTGGTTAGTTATGTCTTGTCAAATTGTTATAAAACATCAGTACTTGTCGACGAAGTACGTTTAAATCATCATTATGGAGGAAAGTAACGTGCCGATTACAAGCGCTGTTGTTTCTCGCGTAACAGAAATAGAGGAAGTTTTTTTGACAACCTTGTTTCTCGTTGCGTTCCCATCTCTTGAAGCGTTGAAGTCCGCTATCACAAATTATGTAAGGTCGACTTACTGTCATTATGTAGTTCGGGATTCGCATTTGTACGTCTGATCGTTACCTTTTTTGATTAACATACCATGTGTTAAGAAAAAACTTATGGACACATTTTGGTGATAATTTGTTTATTAATTGGGTATTAAACATTTGACTACCTTTCTACTTCAGTAATCACTATTATCAAATATTCAAACCGGTTCTCAATTCTTTTTTCCAGAGCTTTCTTTTAATGAGATACATTTAATTAATCGTGTCAAAATAACTAACGTCTTCAATTCAAGGTCTACATGATCGGAAAACAAAAATTTATCCCAATACACATTCACTAACAGTTGTATTGCACGGTAGTGAAATTGAGTTGGTATTTTTTTCTTCAAAAGTCTAAATTTTTTCAAGACTAAGATTACAAGAAAAGAATTATTGATTATCATTAAATTTCAAATGTAAAAATGCAAATTATGACATGCAATCAAAGCACTTGATGCTACTTCGATTTCAACTAATCAGATTGCAAAGATGAACAGTTTACGACCAATTACAAAATTAATATGAGATGGGTTTTGTGGATATTATAGTAAGTTCAATGGTTAAGATCATGAGTCAGTTGAAGCTAGTCCTGGGTTCGAATCTCGCAGGGAGTGAGGTCGTGGATGCGCACTGCTGAGGAGTCCCACAATGGGACGAAACGGTTGTCCAGTACTTTCACGTTTTCCATGATGGTCTAGCTTTAACTGACTCATGATCTTAACCATTGAAGTTACAAAATTATTAAAGGTGACAAAATTTTTGTTCATTATCACTTCAGTACACACTCGCAATACAAGTACAGCAATCACCGATCACTAACTTTTTCTTTCACACCCTACAATTTCGAAGAAATGGGTGGTAGGGAATCATAATAGCCGTGCATTTAATGTCAACCTTCTTCGAGTTCACTTGTTGTCCGTCGTCACAACTTCAGTTTTACAAAACCTATCTAAAGTGTTGGAAGTAGTCATTATCGAATAGTTAGAGGAAATTAACAAGAAACCAACCCTTTGACTACTTAACATCAAACCAAAGTTCGCAATGCTATCAAGCCCAGTAAAACTATTTTCCAAGTTGCACAATGGTCTGAAAAATTCTATTAACACTAAGAGACACTCACTATATCATTGGTTGTCATTGGATAATCAGTCAGTGAGATTTAAAGTTCATAACTTCCAATAGATTTATGAAATAAAACAAATGTGAACAAATAAACATTTCTATTCAAATAATCATATAAATAAGTATGTGATTTTCATTTCTTTATTGATTAGTTAACTGTTCTCATTTTTTCTATTCTAAATTAACTGATTATTCAACCTAGCCATATCTATTTGGATTCAGTATTTTTATGCTTCTATGTATTCTTGTCACTTTTGGACATGGATTTTGTCTATTGTTTGATAAACTACTGAAATATAAAACTTCACAATTAAAATTTATTGGAAGTTTACAAAATTGTGATGAGAGAAAGGAGAATAGTAATAACCATGATTTAAATAATGAATCAAGAAATCAGGTGTCTAGTTCCTCTTTAAATCGAATGAATCAAAATCTATCTGTGAGAAATATGTCAAAACTAGATCAACATATAAGTTCCTCAAATGTGAAAACTTGTGTTCATTTTAATGAAATAAAACCAAAATACAAATGCGTAATAGGTGATCACGTCAAAATGCCACTAAATGAGGCTGACCAAAATCATCATGATATTATTAATTTAACCCGAATAAACAAGGATCAATGTTTATGGATTCACAATGAAGTTAAATCGAAAAAACTGTAAGTTGGAAGTAAATATTATGATTATTATTTAACCTGTCAAAAATAACACTTTGTTTATAATGCGTTCGTGACTAAAATCTTATTGTAATCACATACGGATTGATTACTCATGAAGCTAAGCACAATGTCTTTCTTCACATCGGGATTCACATCAGTAGTATGTGATGCTAATCGTAAATGTCGATACACAACTAGGTGACTATTGTCTATTGAATTTAAGAATTATTTTACGTTTATCTTATCGGAAAATTATTGTTTGTTATTTAAGCATTTAATGGTTTATGTTTATAGTTGATGACAGTGAGGATGGATTAAGAATATCAGGATTCACCAGTTTTAATTGTGATGAACCGAAAGCTATAGAGAATGTGTCTGTGTAGATATTTATTGCTTATGGGACAATAGTTATATTATCTCTATTGTGCGTGTGTGTCACTCCCTTTTGTATCAAGTTCAGAAGTTGAGAATTCTACAGATTTTATTCTCTACTGCTATTCTAAACTGAGAGTTCTCAGGATAACGACCAGTCAGTTAATACCCAATGTATTTAACTGTAAGACAATTACATATAGAAAGCATAGGTCATAGTCAAAACACTTGATCAGTTAACAGTTCGGACATATATGATTATCAATATTCCCATTGTCAACATTGAGAACATAAAATACTGAATCAGATTTGTATCTCGGGCAAAAAATTTTGGTCGGGTTGACTTTTCTAAACTCAGTGGCTTAACTAGGAACTGTTGGTTGCTGTTCCAGACAACATCATCAGCACTTGCCTCATTTGGAAATGAACTATTTAATCACTTCAGTGGCTCTAAATCAACCCACTACGATAAACAAGTTTGTGGATGGATCTCTTCAAAAGTTTCGTTACCTACGTCTGTCTCGTTTGTCTTGCTTTTAGAAAGGTGATTGATTTACCTTATCCTTACAGAATGATGAACAGGGTCCACTTGTACATGCCTATTGATTGAGGTTGACCTGAATGTCATGATTTCAGAAGTTCTCTGATATTCTTTAAATTTTATCCATTCAAACTCATGTATACGGTTTTTTACATGCATTGATGTGATGGGTGACATATCATTTCATGTAATTGTTATTCATGTGCGCGTAACAAACGAAGAGTCAACTATGCCTTATGCTGTGTTTTTAGTACTTAGTGTAATTTATTTTGTAGATGATAATGAATTTGTCCTCTTTCGCTGTTATATCTTTTGGTCAGCATCAAGTTCAATAAAGTGTTCGATAAGAGATATAATTAGAGATCAAAAATATTTCTGAATTTCCTCGATATGCTTCTATAATAAGATAACAAGATTGGAACTTAATTTTAAACTACCACTAGGTTAGATACTCGTTCGATATATTATACAAAAACCCGAACCACATTATACCATGTACATGATTCCCGACCAAAGTGAAGAACTAGAATACATATAAGACATTACATTAGTTAACACAATTATTAGCAGTTCTCACTTAGTCCGGAATATAAAACAGTAATGGGAAATAAATCCTAAAGTAAATATTCAGTAAGATATATATGTCCGTTCACGGTGGGTGGACAGTCTCATTTACTTTCACTAGCCACAAATCACTAAACTAGTAACCTAGCTTCCGGTTTTAACTTGAATTGCAAAGTTAGGTACTTGGTTAAAAAATAAATTTTTGAAGATCTGCGGTGATGAATTTAACTCCTGTTGGGTTGGGTTCTCTAGCTGATACCAGTCCATGATAAAACATTCCATAAACTTATCTAGCCTCTTGAAGACTGCCCAATTAAACTTGAGGAAAATCATATATTTGTCTTATTCAGAAATTTAAATGGTGCTTAAATAAAATTTCAACTAAAGATTTCATAATCTTTCGTATATCTATTATGAATTCATCATAAAATTGTTAACATTACTACTAATATTAATATTATCTGCCTTAACTTAGTTTACATCTCCAGCCGATGCCAACTTTATTCATTAAAAAACCAAATTATTCAAATGAATTGGACGAAATACCTGAAAATGACAACCTTTATTTAAATGATAATTCCTACTTATCAAATGAGACTAAAGCTTCAATGAAATCCTCGTCATTTAGACAAAAAGTTAATGTTAATGATGATAATTGTGGAGGATATGATAATGATGATGATGATGCTAATGGTGACGATAATGATAATAATGAAGATAAATTATTATCACCTTCCACAAACAATCCATCTTTATCACAAACCAGTTCAAAATATCAACAGAATACGGAACATACTAACGCTTTATCAACATTTGCCATGACATCTTATTTAAACACACATCATAATCACAAAATATGTACTAAACATATGCTTCGAGCTCACAAAAGAAATTCATCTTTTTTTAAACGATTATATAAATGTGGTTAGATTATTAGACATCCAACAAGACAATGTGACACAAATAAATCTATAGTGAAACCAAGTATAGATTTACCTTTAATTTGTAAATATAATTCATCTTATTTGTCATTTGTTCATCAGCTACAACAAATTCCAGCAGTTATAAGTCCGAAACTATTTCACAACTATCAGAAAATAAGAAAAATTATTCTGATTGAAAATCATGTCGACAATCAGTCAGCTTATATTGCTTCGCATTTATGGCGTAGTAATAATACTGATAGCGCTAGTGAGGTTTGCATGGAATATGTCAACTTTTTCAATTATTCACTGGTATACTATTGTAGTATAAAATCTCTTCATTTCTATATCAAGAATATGTTAAATAAATTTGATTTGATCTCGTTTTAAAAAACTAACTATATAGTTATATTGATATTACGTTTATTGAAAATTTCATCTATGCTGGGCTTGTGACGAAATTTCGATTTTCTTGGTTTCATTTATTTTTAAAACTTAGATTCAATAAACAGAGCTTTACAGTAATGAAAGTATATAAATACCTATAAACTAAGCCTCTATTGTTCAATATTATAGCTTGAATTAGTTATGTGACTGCTGATATAAAACACCATCAAGTAATAGTGACTATACTCGTTAGGAGGTTAGTCAGTGATCTCATACACTATTTAATTCACACTAGTTTCTGTAGTCATACTTCAATAACTTCTATACAGTGTTTGAGATTAGCATTTAACCGTACTAATCTAAATGAGAATACGTGACACGACAAAATGGAATCCAGATTTAAAGGAACTAAAAGTTCATTAAAAAAGGTGGAAATATTTTCAGCTTTTACGACATTCTAGTAAACAGTGAACGACTTTAATAAATAGTATATAATAATATACATCAGATAGATTGTTTTCAGTTACAGGTATTTTCATCAACAGAATGACAAGATAATTGGTTAGCTGGTGATTATTTGCTAGGATATTATAAACATTACTAAGTTTAGAATTCGATAGTGGATGTCCCATGTCATGCAGTAAAGAACTTAAGCTATGGAGTATTGTTTTTGTAGATGTTCCAAAAGCTATCTTTAACAGTGACCGAGGATAGATTTCGGTGGACCGCCGGCGTATTTAGCAAGAAAGGGACAATTAGTACACATCTATTGAACCAATTAATCAGTGTAACTTATCCTTTAGAATGATTTAATATGACATCGTGGTCACAGTAAGATATGCAGTTGTTCGTGATATGAAAGGTATATCACTAGTAATAATTCCATCAGTAACCAAGATCCAACGATAGTAATATTCTAGAAAATATGCACATAATCATCGAAAAATCTTTTAATACCCGACGTTTCTTAATAAGCTGTAACTGATATCCATTTTTAAGACAAACTGACCTAAATTATGTCTATTGACACCAGAAACCGATACACGTTAGATCACCATTGAGGACCTGGTTACACTGGATGGCCGTTTCGTTCTAGTAAGGGATTCCTCGACAGTGCATACCCATGATCTCGCACATGGGATTCAAACCAAAGGCCTTCGGTCCCATGCGCGATCGTTTAACCTCTAGACCGTTGGTCCGAGATCCGACGGTGTATAATTTCAACCACTCCACAATGTTGTCCAATCGTCTTTCATTGACTTCGTTGATTAAATGCTTCAACTCCACTGATTGCGGCTTCTCACAAGGACTCCAAGAATCACCTCTTGAAACTACTCACTAGCAAGCAAATAATAATTATCAGTTATTAGTTGTGGAGATTGTCGAATTTTTATTGAAATCATGAGTTGAACAATATTCAATAACCACAAAAAAAAACTACTTAATTTATCATGATGTAGTTAACGCACAAATTTGATCATTACATAATTCATATGAATAAAACTATTCTAAACTATTTTGTTTATGAATAGGAATTATTTCTTATTATGCAGAAATGATTGGAAGGTACATACGTTTATAGTGGAAATTATAAATGAATAAAATGAAAATAACTTTCTATTAATAGTTTATACTAATTTTCTAAGATTAATTATTAATAAACAAATAAATAAATAAATTTTTTTATTGTTAATGAGAATAGTTATTGATAATCAATAATTGATTGAAACCTGTAAATAAAATCAATTTTGGTTGCACAAATCGTATCCAAACTGATGTATACAAATTTTTAACTATGATGAATTCATTAAAGTGATTCATGAAAAATATTAAATATTGTCAATAATTTATTCATTGAATAAATGAATAAGTTTTATTAATTAAAATGGTAATTATACATTTGTATTCACTTTATAACAATTTGGAATTGAATGAGTTGATTGTATTTTTTTTAAATAAGATGATGATGATTTTAAAGAATTGAATGTGTCCGATAAACTGACTGGTATTTTCCTATTTATGATAGGTTTATCTTCTATTAAATATTCATTAGGTTCCATACATTCATGAGGTTGAATAAGCTTTTTAATTCTCTGTAAAGAAATAAAATTTTTCTTATAAAAAAGAAATGTTGGATTGAATGCATTAAATATTCGGTAAAACTTCAAAAGATGCACTAGTAGTGGATAAATAGATTTAAAAGTTTGCTTCAAAAGCAGCCTTTGATATCATATTTACACTGATATTTCTCATAGATGGGCAAGTAATCATTGCCTTCAGATTGAATTTATGAGCGAACACTTTGACAGCACTAATTAATTTTCCCTCATGAAATTTATTCAACAATTAATTTACATAGAATAGGGTAATGACAACAGTTATTACATTATTGTATATTCAGTTAATTCATAATGTAATTGACTGAAGTGTTTTCGGCTCTATGATATTTACCTAATAATTTAAGGTTCTAGGATCTTCGCTCTCAAACGAGGAATATAGGCCGTTCACTAGCATTCTCCATCCAACTCTGTCCGGGGCAATACTTTCCAGTTGTTTCCAGTCGCGATTCATCCCTTTGATGTCTGCTTCCAATTCTCCAAACAACGTGTACCTTTACCTCCCACTTTTCCCCTTCTCTTCAACATTCCATGTTAGCGCTTGCCTTGTGATATAGTTTGATGTTATCCTCAATGCATGTCCTATCCACCTCCAGCATTTTTCCCAATTTCCTCTTCATTTAGAAGCTGGTTTTCCTCTCTCACAGTGGGCTGTTGTTGATGGTATTCGTTCAACGGACACTCAGTTTCCTGCGTAGACAATTGGTTAGAAATACTTGCACAATTTGGTGATGGGTGTGGTAGATCTCCAAGTTTCACCTCCGTACAATCAAACAGTCTTGAAGTTCGCATTGAAGATTTTCACTCTAATATTGGTTGACAGTTGTTTTGAGTTCAATGTGTTTTTCAAGTGTGGAAATGCTGTCCTTGCTTTGCCAATACTCACCACTACGTCTGCATCAGATCCTCCGCGCTTATCAATGATGCTATCCAGAAACGTGAAACCATCCACCTCTCTCAGAGTTTTTCCACCAAGTATGATTGGGTTGGTGTTCTCTGTGTTGTATTTGATGATCTTGCTATTTCCTTTGTGTATGGTGGGACCTATTGATGCAGAAGCACCTAAACTGCATTCGTTCACGTATATGGGATAGAAGGGCTAGGTTATCTGTGAAATCCAAATCGTCTAGTTGCATCCAACCTGTCCATTTTATTCCGTGCTTCCCGTCAATTGTCGAGGTCTTCACCATCCAATCAAACACTAGAAGAAAGAGAGATGGGGAGAGTAGATAACCTTGTTTTTATCCGGTCCTCACCTGGAATGCGTCTATCAGCTGTCCTCCATGCACGACTTTGCAGTGTAGTCCATCGTATGAATCCAGGATAATGTTGACGAGTTTCTCAGGTACTAAAACTATAGTCTCAAAAAGTTTCCATAATGTTCAACGCTTTCTCATGATCAAAGAAGCTGACGTGTAGTAACAAGTTCCATTCAATTGATTGTTCAACGATGATCCGTAGTGTCGCGATTCGGTCTGTGCACTACTGATCCTTACGGAATCCAGCCTATCGATCTCAAAGTTGGGCGTCTACTGAACCTTCCATTCGGTGCAGCAACACTCTGTTGAAAACCTTTCCTGGTATTGACAGTGGTGTGATTTCTCCGTAGTTCTCACATTTGCTCAGATCTCTTTTCTTTGGTATCTTGATGAAATGTCCTTCTTTCCGATTTTTCAGCGCTTGTCCCTCCTCCCAAATCTTCCTGAATAGTGTGTAGCATGTTTGCAGTTGCTTCTTTGTCTGAATTCAGAGCTTCAGCCGGTAGATTGTCAGGTCCTTCTGCTTTCCCGCTCTTGATTTGTTTGATGCCTATCCTGATTTCTTTGGTCATCGAGGGAGCGATATTTGTAGGAATGTCTGTGTATGCTGTTTTGATATCCGGTGGATTCAATGTAGCTTGCCTATTTAAGCGTTTATCGAAATGTTCTATCCATCTGTTTCTCAATTCTTGAATTTCAGTGATTATCTTTCATTCTTTGTGTTTGACCGGTCTCTGGTCTACTAGCTTCCCCTGCTAGCTTCTTCGTTATATCATATATTTGCTTCATATTTCCTTTTCTTGCAGCTTCATCCTCTGTCGTTGCTAGCTCTTCCAAGTATTTCTGCATGTCGGTTCTAATACTCTTCTTTCCTTACTTGTTTGCTTCTGTGTATTTGGAGTGTACCTTGACTTTCTCTGTTATTGTTAGGCTGTTGTTATTGGTGTTTTCTTGTTTCTGCTTTCTTGAATCTTGTTCAGGGTTTAGATGGAGATCCATTCCTTATGATGATGCTTCTTGCTGCCCAAAACCTCCTGACACGTTGAAGTTAGTGCTGCTTTGATCCCTTTACGGTTGTCCTTCATAATAGTTTCTTCTTCTCTGAATAGATTTTGTAAGGCTTGGGACTTGTTTTTGAGAGTTGTCTTGAATTCGTCGTGTTTGTTTCAGTATTATTACCGTTAATTTTATCTTACCATTGTGAAGATATATATTTTCAATTAACTTCCCATCAACAGTTTTTATTTTAAATTATTATAGATTATAGGCAGCTAACAAGAGTCTAATGCAATAATAGGAATTCATGTTGTTATTCAGCTCAGATGTTTGTTCTTTAAAATAATAATAAATGTTATTCATGATTTATTCGGATC